CTTCTTTTTTTTTTTTTTTTTTAACCCCCCACCACCAGCACAGTTCAGTACTGCCCAGAAAAGTCAAATCTAAGGTCAGAGGAGAGGCTAGGCTTAATGCAGCAATTTTCTGCTGTGCTCAGACTTCGGAACAAGCCACAACTCTAGCCACAACTATCACGCAATTTTCCCAATAGCTCTAAACATTGTATGTCACATTTATTGAGTCAAACAAGGCAGCACGTTTGTCAAATAGTGATTTTAAACCAGCCATGTGCTGCTGGCTCACAAGCTTCTCCACTGCATTCCATGCTAGATACGGCATTTGCCATGTCAACAGTAGGAGGCTGTTGAAGGCACTGCAGGGACAAGTGGAAATCGTGACTTGTCCCCGAAGGCCACACTTCAGTAGGCAGCCACAGCTACAATAGCACCAGTGAGAAACCATGCTCACCACCACGCTTACATCTTCCTTCTGCTTGTTACAGCATGCACCATTTGGTCTAAACCCAAGCAGACCAACAAAGACAACTTACTTGGGTGTTGCAGGTTTTGCAGAACTGCTTGATTTTTCCAGCAGAAATATCAGTATCTTCGTAACATTCTCTGCACTCATACATAGCGAGCCCTCCGCATATGTGGCACTGCCTAGGAGCTGCATTTTTAAACAGGGTATTAGTCTCCAGCTTTGCTTTCTCTCTCTCTTTTTTTTGCCTTTTTTTGTTTTGTTTAAGGAGAGGAACAGGGAAAGGAGTGCAAATTAATACTTTAAATTAAAAAAAAAAATCCTAAATTGGAACATCTTAATATTAGATTTCCCAGTAAAGCAGAAATGTACCCTCATGTGACCTAATTTCTCCCATTAAAGAATGTGGAACAAACAAAAAACATGATAAGCATTAAGTTGTATTAACTAGATGTAACAAGTAAAAAATAGGCTTTTTAAAATCAGCTTAGTTCTCTCTCATCATACTGGAATACTTAGCTCAACTTTTCAGTCTATCAACACCAGCAAGCAAATAAATAGTATAAGCTGGTGAAAAGGCCATGCCATAGTTTAGATGATGAGTATTATAATTTTAGCACTTTTATTAACTCCTACCCCAAATTTAAACCCAGATGTTTTTCCTTAGCAATATCATGAAAGAAACAGAATTGGGCATTAATCTGTTTTGTTCAATGACAATTACAAGTGCTGGAAATTTAGGTCTGCCAGTATAAATGAAGATGACATTTGTAGTCACTAGAGACTGTAGTGTAGAGACACTATCTCTGCACAATGAAAGTTCACACAATCTCAATTCCCTTCTGCTTTAAAAAAATATTTTTTTCAACTAATGACAAAAAAGTTCAGACATGCAGTGTAAACTGATGAAGTCTAATGTAACAGAGTCAACATGAAGTCCCCATTAACCAACCTTGGTGCTAATCCTGCCTTTAGGTTTACTTATCCCCCTTTAATGAATCATTTTTGATCAACTCTAACAATCTTATGTCTTACAATAACAAATGTTTTATACAGACCACAGAAAATATATACAACGAGGCAAATTGTATTCTTTACATTCTTCTGAATTACAGCTTTTAATTAACAAGAGGAAGAGAACACAAAGATTACTCTTTAGAATAATTCCTCCTCAGTTGGAGCCTTGTATTTAGCAGCACTACGAGTTAAATATAAAAGAAAACCCAGCAGTACTTACTTTCACCAAGTAAGTCAGCAACTCACTTTCAATATGCATTACAATGTTATACTTACTATCTTCAAGTAAATCTGTTATATTTAATTCCAGAGAGGGAAAAATTTTGTTGAACATTTTGAAGTCTTTCCCAAATCGAGGCATCTGAATAATCAGGCAAGAAGGTGCCTACATAAAATGCCAGAATATGATGTAATGAGACAGATGTTACCTAAAGTTACAGAGCTTTACAGGTAATCCTATTACCGCCATCACACTAATTAGGCTTTGTGGCCCACTGACTTTAAAATTAATGATACAGTAAAAGCAAAACAAATTTAGATCCTTGAAACCATAATTAAAGACAACAAGAAACTAAAATCCATTTCATTGTCAAATGCAATCAAGTCCGATCATGCTTGAGCTGAATTACTTTTGCCTGTTTCGCCAAAGGAATCATATCATTAAGCTAACATTAAAATATATTTATAATATAGGCAACCTGTACCACTGACCTTCTACTTCCATTCCAACATGTCTGCATTCTCTCGTCACACCAAATCCCATTTTCATCCCACTGCCAAATGGGTAAAAATCTAGGTGGTATCATTTCTAGAATTAAGCCGTAAGATGCAAAGTAACAGCTGTCACCAACCTCGGCAAACTTCAAGTTGCTGTTAATGAAAGACCATTCCAGTAACTGCTGAATTGTTGGGACTCCAACTTTCTCATTTTTGTCCATGAAAATTTGATAGAAGTAACAGTCTTGTACTTTCTGACCTGCTGATCTAAAAACAGATTAAAGATTCAGATCTACTGTAATAGCTGTATTTTACTGGGAGAATAACATTATCTACCAGAAAAATCTGTCATACGACCTCTGCACAGATCCTCAACACCCAATACTCTGAACTAGCCTCCCTGCTGCCTTGCTAATGGGGAAGGACAAGGGCTCTCGGGTGGGCAGCACTAGAGCAGCGAGGTGCTCTCCAGGCCAGGGCCGTTCTCACGATCTTTCAGACAACCACAGAGCAAAACCACCAACAGTGACCAGAGGCATCACTACAGTTTGTTGCTGTAACTTCACTACAGCAAATCTTATTCGCAAGTCAGAGGTGCCCAACACAGAAGGTAGCAGCCTCTGTCCTCATCAACCTCTACAGATAAATTCACTTTCAAATTCAATAACAACAAAGTCACCTTATTTTCAACAGGGGCTCAACTCTTAGAATATGGTGAAATAAAATATTCAAAAATTCTTCTGGATCTGGGGAAAAAAATGAAGTCTTGTTAGTATAGAAAAACAACCTTCAATGCAATTTAAAATGATAATTTTTTACTTCAATGACAAGTTTTATGCTAACAGGAAAAATAATTTTTCTTAAGCTTCAGTAGCACTGTAAGGCTATAACAAACTGCTTTCATGACACAAATCTCAGTTTAGTCCTTCAGGATCAAATAGCCATAATAAAAGCTACAGGCTAAACTCGGTAACCATGCTTGTCAGTTAAGGTTAAAAAAAGATGTTCTGTATTTCAGAGGAATCACTTGGCACAACAGAACTTTTTCCAGAAGAAAAAGCAACAGTAAAATTGCAGGGGAGATATTAGGATTAGTGACAGTAACGCTTTGAAGAAAATACACTGTATTACAAAATTCATCTGAACTAGTGACTGAGCTCTCTGGTCAAGAATGCAGCAAACACTAAGCACCCTGGAGGTCTATTCTGCCCCAACATAGAAAGTTTTCTGGCACACTTCTCTTTCTGCCACTAACTGCAATAAATATTGTTTTCTAGTATTTAGCTTTTACAAAGAACCCAGTGTTCTTGTCCTGGACAAAAAAAGAAACAGCTACATAATAAAATTATAATTAATCATATGCAGCAGAAGATCAAAAGGTTGGTATTTAATTTTTCTAGTGTGACTTACAGATTTCTTAAAACACTGCACAGAAACTGTGATGATGAAATGCTCATTCCTCAGAGAACAAACTGACATTCTGGAAGAAACTATCAAAGCCTTCATTCTGAAGAGAAGCCTTAGATTTCCCCTACATGCTAGAGAAGGGTGTTTTCTTTTTACAGAGGCTGCTGCTGCAGAAACTGGGCAACTTCCTCACACCTCCAAGGTCACAGAAAAGAGCTTTTTAATACCCAGTGTTCACTCTGGCAGGAAGATTTTTGCTACAAATAAATATTGATGTTTTGCATTGGAATAATACAGAAATTATTTCAGTTCCTTCTTAGTACAATTCTGACAAATCTCAAAGAAAATAAAACATCCCCATTACCTTTTTCTTCTGAAGTGAATCCTGATGCAGCTTCAACTTTTTCAAGTATTTTTCTCAATTTCATTATTTTTGTAGCGCATACATATCCATATCTAAAATAAGTGGTTTAATAAGATATTAGTTTATAATCAAAACAGAAAGGCAGAAAGAAAAAACTTAAATGCCAAAACAGGCACGCAGATCCTTCTTTAACTGAAAAGAGTAGCTACATATTGATTCATAATTTTCTAAGTGCACCACAAATAAAGAGCTTTTTAAAAAAAACATTAAATTACCAGAAGGGCAACTATTTTCTGATTAGTCAGCTACATAATTATTTATTTTTGCATTGTTTTCACACAAACATGCACTACTTAATATCACTTTCAGGTGACATATAGTAGAACTGCAGAAGTCATTCATATTTACATCACAACTTCTATTTATCAATGCCTTCATATTCATACCTATAGAGATTTTACAATAGCTTCATGGTGATTCTATTCATAAATGAATGCTAATAGAAATGTTTAAAGATTAAAAATGAGTAATTACTTCTATTACATTAAGTTTACCATTAAGAACAAGTAAAAATACTCAAAAAAGATACAGTGGAGCAGCAGCACCTAGGAAAATCCTGATTTGTGGCAAGAATGCATACCCAGCAGGATTTATCATAAATCTTTTATTAGACCAGAGACCAGCTTTTTGTATTTCACTTACATTCTAAGAGGATTCACAATCTCTGTACGCAGTAGCTCTTGAGTCTCACTATAATACTCCACATCATTTTTTTCTTTAGGTCTGAGTAACACCGTGTCTAGAACAGAGCTAAAAGAAAATAGGCTGCAAACAAAAAAGAGAAGTTATTTTGATTCTGGAAAACAGAAGCACTCAAATGCCTGAGCTGCATGAAACAAACCAACTAAAGGCACAGGAAGGACCAAAGAATTAAACAAGCTCTCAGGGAAGTCATTAGAGAGGACAGCACCGCTGTACAATACAGCAAAGATCCACTCCCTCAGCACCCCTTCTCCAGCAAACGTGCAGCAAAGGCCGAGACCAAGTGCAAGGGATGCTTCTCCCCAGGACGCTCTCACCGCCCAGCTAAGTGCCGCTCGGGAACGCCCGCAGTCAAGCAGTGCACAGATCCACATGGCCAGGACAGTTTGGACACTGGGAGGCCTGATCAGCACTTTGTGTTAAGCACCACGTACCACAGAGCTCATGGAGAGTGAAAAAGCCTAGTACCAAAGATTATTGTTCATAAGATGCAGAGTAATAATAAAGACAGTTACTAAAGTTGTGTTCTGCATTTCATGCTTACCCCCACTCACTCATACCTTGGGAAGGTACTATATAAATCATTAACTTACCAGAATAAAGTGGAGTCTAAGTAACAGGAGTTGTAATGACCCTGGATACCCTTCTTTTTTCCAATCATTGTCTCTAAACCTTCTTTCTCCATTTTGGGAGGAGTGTTTTCTTCTACCACTTCACTTAAATATCCTCCAAAGGCTGGAAAAAAAAAAAAAAGAAGACGACGACACTTAAAAGCCTCAAATTTTATTCTCGAATATTTTCCTAGTAGCGCTTTATGGCTACATGCTGCCTTATTGCAAAGCATCCCTTTTCTGGACTAGAAAAGCATTTATTGCAACTGAGACTCCTTATAAAGGAGCTTCCTTATAAACTGAGTTTCCTTATAAAGACGAACTTAAGTTTCACTGGCGAGGCGCATAAGGAGGGAAACGAAATCTGCAGCCCTGACAGAGGTTTTATCCAGCAGTTTTTTGCCATTTGAAGTGCTCTGATAACACCACCTTACAAGTATGGAGAAATGTCTTTCCTTACTGTTGACAAGACAGTAAGGCAAGATCCCCAACATCTAAAACATTTTCAGTTAGAAACAGTTCCAGTTTCCATCACTAACCTCCACCACAAATACACATTATTCTACTTTAATACTTGGGAAAGAGGTCATCTGACATTATAGCAAAATACTTGCCTTTGTCTCTGAAATTGCAGTATTTAATGCTGGAGTTGCAGTGGCATTTTTGGCAAAATTGCTTTACCCCTTCTGAGGATGCCTAAGAAACCCTTTAAATTTAAGAAACTTAAATACTTGAACACTTCTTTGTTTTAAAGTATAAGTAATTCAGAGAAGTGTTATGTTCTATATAGACTGATCTACTCAACCTCATTTAAGAAATACCTGTGCAGACTTCCAACTGTTCAATATTACTAAGTCCATATGGCAGGAATAACTGAAACTAAAATCCATGTCAGTTCCCAGGTGATAAATAAGTAAGAACAAACTCGCTACCTAGAGAGTTGCAGCGTTCAATCTGGTTGGAAACTGGCTGCAGGGAGGCAAACCTGGAATCCGGCCTGCAGCTTTTGAGTTTAACAAAAAGAGCTTTCTTTGGAGCACAGGTGAAGTATCGCGTGCCTTTAAATGTTCCATCTGTACAACCTGCACATTCATCTTCCTGAAAATGAAAGGGAGATTTCAGTATTTTTCTTCTTTCTAGCACTTTGCAATGAGATGATAAAATTGCTACCTATAAGTCATCCTTCAGTTATTCTCAAGTTCTCATGTTCCTATACAAGGCTTCATCTGAGGTGTTCTTTAGTTTGATTTATTAAGAAGACATAGACACTTCACAAGTATTTTTCCCTCCATAAAAGTTTGATTTATTAAGAAGACATAGACACAAGTATTTTTCCCTCCATAAAAAACAGAATCACAGAATCGTTAAGGTTGGAAGGGACCTCTAGAGGTCATCTAGGCCAACTCCCCTGCACATGCAGGGTCACCTAGAGCACGTGGCACAGGATTAAAATAACATTTAAATTTTTGCATTAAGAAAAAACTTGTAGGGGGTAGAAAAAGAGTGAGAATTAGAGCAGGGGCATTTCATACAGATCCACCGTTCAGCATTTGTAAGAAGAAAGCAATGGATAAACTAAAGTATCTTTTCAACAGTATCTTTCAACTAAAGTATCTTTTCTTTTTTCAGTATCTTTTGTTTGTTGAAAACATAAAACTGAGCAAAGGATGCTTCATTAAAGTGACTAAAAGTCACTAAAATTTATTACGTAAATTCAATTACTTTCTGACACAAGCCCATCTTAGAATAGGACCCGATGCAGTCACAAAAAAGTTCAAGCTCCTTTAAAGTTTTACCTAGGTTTTAAGCAGATCACAGGACAAAGTGCTTAGACAAACTCCTTTAGACTTTCGCAGAGCAAATAGATTCCAATTCTCAGGTACAAAACTAATGATGCAGCTAATTAATAAAACGATGATCTTTCAGATTATATTTACCAGCTCCAGTCCAGCTAACACTTCGTTTACTCCAGGGGGCTGGCCAATCCAGCGGATTACTCCATAGAAAGGAGGATTTTCTTTAACCTCTGCGAGCGAACCTGCTTCAAGACCATGCGAGTTGCTGATGGGACCTGCTGCTGACGGACTCTCCTGGGTCACTGCAGTATTTGCATCCCCTATGACTGACTGAACAGATAGAGAGAGAGGACTGTGTCCAATGGTGCCATTAGGGCTCGTGGTTTTTGTCAAGCTGAAAGGAAGGGAGTGAAATCTGTTTTCTGTAGACACAGAGCTTGTTAAAGGTGGCTGCAGAGGTGGTGAGGAATGCCCAAATCCCGGAGAAGAATCCGTGAGCGATTTTGTAGGGTCTTCAGCAACTGTTATGAAACAAACAAGATGTTAATTAAGTTTTTATTTGCCCCCTCTAGCAGCTGTCAAGCAGTAACTGTAAAAATAAACATAATTCTACCAGTGGTTACTTAAGGAATCAAGGAAAATAGTTTTCTAACACAAGTTTTGAGATGCTAACCAGAACCTATGGGAAGGTTTAGATTGAAAACAGATTTTTCTTTCTTCTTTAACCTCTTGCCATATTTGAACACAAGCTAAGAATCCCCAAGGATTAATAGTGTATTGGGCAAAACTACTGAAAAATCAGTGGTCATTGTGATTGGAGAAAGGACTTGGCTCACAGCTCATACAGAGATGAGTAATTGCTTGCAGACTTGAGAGGAAACTGAAAAAGTACTCATCCCCTTTGGCTGTATCACAGGATACTTTGGTTCTAGCACCAGGAATCTGTCAGTACCCATAGAGAATAAAGGATTTAAATAAGTCATGACTAATACAGTGCTTGATAAATGAGATCACAACTAGATGTACTGCTTTTTATCTTCTCTCATCTCTCTGGATGGTCTATAATAAACAACTGGTATTTGCAGAGCAAGTAGCCTCTACTTCATTACCTTCTCTCCCCATACTGCTCTATAAATTGAAGCTATTATCTACAAATTGAAAAAAATACACACTCCTCACTTTCACATTCCTTTCTACAAACGATACTTTCCTTGATCATTTCAAATATTATTATAATAAACTATTTTTTAAACTGAGTTCCAAGCTTAACATTTTTTTAGGCAACCAAGAGCATTTTAAACCAATTTTCTTTTATGGCTCCTGGAATTCAGGGGCTAGTATCATTATGTTTTCATAATAAATTAGTATTATTTCAGTTTAGTATTTGCTCCCCTCAGTCACAGAGCCAACTAGCCACATTCTGGAAAAGCAGCAAAAGAAACACTGCCTTGGATGTGGAAGCAAATCAAGGTGTCCCCAAAGCATCAGTAAACACATTCCTGTGCATCACGTAAGAATTTAGTTATTCAAAGTTATTTTATATAAATGAGTTCTAAAGAAGTTTAAAGAGAAAAAAATGTATACATGTATGATTACTCATTTTAATTCCCTCCAGGTTGATCAGCTGGCATGGCAGAACATCGAAATTCCCTTAGATCTGTAGCATTAGCTACAAGTTAAAAAAAAGAAAAAAAAAAACACCCACACACTATACGCTTGGAAGGAAGACTTGGAAATAATGCGCTTCAGCTTTTTGCCTGCAAGACACATGCGTCTCCCATGGAGCTAAGCATACGTTTCCAAGAACGTAATCTACTATGTGCAGGATAACAACAGCAGGTCTGTCTATCTAGACAAAAAGTTTGCTTTCATGGGGCTCTGCGATACAGTATGTCTCCTGCCAGGAAGATCCATCCCAACTGCTTTTCATTTTAAATTCCTATTTGTTTTATTTAAAGAACAAATGTAGAGTAATATTTTTTTTGAAATAAAGTACATGCCTAATAAAAGACTATAATATCTCTTATTACCTTCATCAATATACCATGGAGGTTTTGTTTTCATTTGAGGCTGAGAATCAACTGATGAGCCATTTAATGTATAGAAGACTTCAGATCTGTTTCTATTCCCAGGTTCAGAGGTAGATGCTAGAAAACAGAGGATATTTTACTGAAGATCTACATCATCTCTTCTAAAAAGCTATGAGGGTCATATTCCATAATTTAAATTTGTTAATGTACTTGGAATCAGACAGAACTGCCTTTCCGCAAGACAGGAAGCCTTACATCAAAGGTAATAGCTCTGAGCTTGCAACAAGGTAGCAGTTTATCCTAAAACCAGTTAATTCTCCACAATGACTCAAGTCTGGAATCAGAAAAACAAGACAGAAAATAGCTTTGAGGGTTAAATCCCTCTTTATTAGTAAAATATTATGGAGATAAAGCAGCTGGAAATATAGTTTACAGTAAATATTTTTCACTTTGTTTTTAAGACAAAATTCTTCAGAGCAATCACACTAGAGACCCCACTCCACATAGCTACGTGTGCCAGCACATAACCAGCCACAGCTGCTTCAGCAAAAACCATCTCTGTCCAAGGAACAAAGCTTTACAGAGTCATTTATATTCTATAACCCAAAATAGTCACTAGAAAAGATGTTGAACTTTACTTTTTTAAAGTAATATCCTTCCAGTTCTTCCCACTTCCCTCCCCCCCCCAGTTTGGAGCGCTTTCATCAGAGCTAGCCAAAAACAGGGTCATCAGAAAGTTTTATTTTGGGAAATTCAATATTGGTTTTCAGTATTTCAATTGCAAATTCAATATTGGGACTGGATGTACTAGGCAACCAAGTGTTATATCCTTGATTTTTCAAGCTTCAAATGGGGTTTCATGAACATGAAGATGTTGTGAGTAGTCTTGACTTCTGCTTGTACTTTAACAGAATCTGAAAACTGCCTACCAGGGTTGTAATGAAAAAAAGTACTTTCACTATCTCAGATAAATTTAACTTGGTATGTTGCAAAAGGATTAAAGAAAGTGATAGAAAACAAAAGGCTACATTCTTCTTCAAACAGAAATCTGTAATCAAACATGTTCAAAGAAAATTGCTTCTCACACGTACCTGTAGCTTTTGGCTTACTATGATTGAACAAGCTTTTGTCACCACCACCCCTGGAGGTATAGGCAAGCTTGGGAGGCCTCCTGTCCTGTGACATAGTTTCTGAGACATGATATATGAATAAGGTATTAGCAAAGCAGAGAAAAAGAAACCTGTCAGAGAAATTTACTTGAAATTCAACTGGATCTGGTATGATAGATTTCTAAACTGGGTGGGGCAAATCCCCCTTTTGATAGGCAATGAACATTTTTTGTCTCTGAGTAGGAAATACTTCTGCCACATCAGCAACTACTTAAGTCTACCTGTATTTTTTTGAAATGAAAAAATTAAATACACTGACTACAAGTTCTTTGATGTATGTTCAATGCTTCTAATATAGGAAACAAAAGCATGAAGTTCTGATTTTTTTTTTCCCCAAATGAACACAGTTACAGCAAAAGCTCTTTTTCCCCACAACAGAAGAGCTCCATGAATTCTCCAGAGTAAAGAGAGCTCAACAATACGCATCTCTGCTAAAACAAACAAGAGATGCAGAAAATAGCAATTACAGAAGCCCCGGGCACACGTAACATTTCACACTGCATCCTTCTCAGTCTGAATATAATAAGAAAAGCTGGCTAGACTGAAGAAAACCTGAGCACCCTGCTTAAAGCACCCTCGTGCAGCAGAGAAAGAGCAGCTGTAGAGGCTACAAGCTAATACCGTTCAGTGAATATTTCTGAAGAATTTGTGCAGTCTTGTTACAGATTTCTCATGAACAGTTTGAGTGTTTACTCTTTCAAATGCATAGTATCACTAAGTTGCATAGAAATGTATAAATATCATCAAAATGTTTACATCTCAAGTACAGCTTTCCTAGCCAAGATATGAAAATTCCTTGAATAAATGGAACACCATTCAAGAGTAAGATTCGTGCTGCAGAGACTGGAACGCTGGTATTCTGAATACTGCCATTAACATTATTCTATATTAAATCCTTTCCCCATCTAAGATTGTGACCAAGAGAAACTGAAGAGAAGCATCAAAAACAGAGATAAAAATAATTGAAGTGAATTTAAAATGCTATAATCCCACAGTACTCTCAGTCAGCTAACGATGCCCAGGTTGAGATGTTCATGATTGAAGCATGCTTTCAGGTCAAAAAAGTGAGAAATACCTGGTATAACATCATTAATGTGCAGAAGGAGTGTACTTTCAACACTCGCAAAACTACACAGCTGTATTCCATTATATCTTCCATCCCAGTTTCCGATAGGATTATCCTAAAAACGAATAAAAGAAATCGTACATGTTTCCCAAGAAAAGATTTGCCTCTTACAGAATACATACATACAAATTCAGGAATACATCTGACTATTTATGGCAAAATATAGGAAACGAAAGGTTTAACAGTGACTAATTTCTCCTGTAATGAACTTTGTATTTAGAAGTGTCAAACATCATAGTCCTTTAAAATATTCAAAAAATACAAATATATTTTCAAAATTACTTCCTACTTTAATAAGCATCATTTATACAGAAAGGAACAGTTCCAGTGCATTATCTAACTACTACCACAATCAAGAAAATGAAAGCATCTAATCTATCTAATCTAAGTCATACATATAACAACCCACACACCTTCAGCTTCCAAGAATTTGGAAGTAGTACATTTTAAAAATTCCCAGGATGCTAGAAATAATTTTAAGTTACAATTAAATTTCACATATTCTAGAAAAATCAGATGTTCTTAAACTCAGCATCTTTACGACGGAACAAAGCCATATGAACTGAACAGTTACATGAAAAAAACTAAAAGCAAATATAAACAAAGATAAAGGATTTCAGCCTTAAAAAAAAAAAAAAAAGACAAAGCCAGTCTCACAAGACAAACATTCAGCTCTATTACTTGAAGACTGACATCTAACATGGCAGGTAGCTCAGTGGAGGCTCCTCCAAATAACCAGAGCATTTCTCCTAAGACATCAAATAGGACACTATTTGCCTGAGGCCAAAACAATTACCAGAGGGCATTTTTGAACACAAGTCTTTATTTCCCATTTTGATATCAGCCTCCACTGAAGCAGCTTGTGAATAATGTCTCTTCTTCTATATTGCATGTAATTTACTAGCTAACAGACATGCAAAAAATTATTAAAGTCAGATCATTTCCTTACCATGTCCACTCCAACAACGTATCCTAAACTTTCGTTTCCCGGTAAGACATCACAGAATATAACTGTCCCATACTCTATACTCTCTCCTATCTTCAGAGAAACCCTGGAGTTGATCTCCAGAGGAGGAAGTTCTACCTGCATAGTGTCAACTGGAGCTGCATAATCACTTTCCAGTTCATTGTCATCATCTTCCACCAGCTCCAGTTTGTCCAAAGCAACAAAAACCCCACAGTCCTCATCGCATCTGAAAAGCTGCTTGCCTTGGTACTGTCCATCAGTGAAGCCTTGACCACGACCTTCTTCCTAAGTGTCAGAGAGAGAAGCAAATAACCCAAACAGTGTATTTGTGCACAAGTAGGCTGGTTAAAAAACAGTAGTATAATCATTGGTTTGGGAGAAACTGCAGTAACAATTTGCAGGAAAACTATCATCAGAAAATAAGAATTTGTGTTAAAAATACATCTTACCTGATGACAAATGGTAAGATACGCTTAGATTTGAGAGTAGCCGCAGCCAGAAGGCTCTCCCTACCCCATCTGCAGAAGCATGCTGCTCTCCAAGTCCTGCTTCCATCATCTAATTATTGCCAGGCCAAGGCAAGCCTACTTCACATTAGACATGACTCCCAAGCATGCAAAAATCCCACTTAGATGTCAAATAAAGGGAAGAGATTTTCAGAAGTGCTCAGGCATGATATTCCCTAAGGTAAGAACCTTATGGAAGGTAAGAACCTGATGGAAATTTCCAAGAATTTCCAAAAAGTTTAGAGCAGGCTTTGAAAAAATATACTCATACTCACACACACACACGCACACAAACACTCCTAATGCAAGAGTGGCAATCTCCTAAGTCTCCTGTATGGTAGAACAGACATGAACGGTCACAGAAACATTTTACTGGGAGCACACAATAGCTCCATTCTCTAATCTTAACTAATGGTCAGTTAACCTCTAGGGCTCTACAAAAAACAGCAAACGTAAAATTTAAATCTAGATACTTGGATGCCATCCTGTGCATGCATCACTGCCACATGTGGGGAAACCCAAAATCCTCAACCTCTTCGCATAAGAGATTTCACAGTAGGATATTTAGCAGAGAATATTTGTCAAAAGTCTAAAGATCACACAAAATTACAAAATCTTACCAGCAAGAAACTTACCAGCAGCTCTACTCCAAAATATATCCCTGTTAGAGACCTTTCTTGCAACAGGGGTCCTCTGAAACGAACAACTCCAGGAAATTTGTCATCTCCTGATCTCAGCTGTACTCTAACGGTTGAGCCAATATCTATTTGGACACCTTTAGTTAATCTGTTCTTGCTTTTAAACAGACTGTACCTTTCTTCACAGTTAGTAATGGCCAAAAGCAACTCAGCTAATTTTTCATTTATTTCTATAACATCCTTCTCATCCACAAACAGGATTGCATGTGGTTGTTCCAGAATCTTTAATCCAATCTGTAATTTCTTGCCTTTACAAGGAATATTTCTGGAGTGTCCCAAAGAAGAACGGTCTTGAAAAAATTGCCCTATGCTACCTTTGGGCACTTTCAAGAGCTTTTGAGTCTGCTTGTCTATGACACTGCATTCCTGGAGCAGCAAGTAAAAGATTCGCTCTTCCCAATAGGATGAACTTGCTTTTTCTTGACTCCATAAGCCCGAATTCATTGTGATTAAAACTTTAAAAGTTGTGTAGATGCTTCCAAGAACAGGCAGGGAAGAGAGGAGACGAGGGAGGAAAAAAAAAAAAAAAAAGCAGCTGTTGATCTATTTGCACTGAGTTCTAGTGGAGGGTCCAGTCTTTGTTTATTGATTCAATATTTCATTTTGAAAAGAATCAAATCCAGAGCAGAAAGCCTAGGATAAACAAAAATGAAGTTAATACTAAATTGGGAAAACTGTAGTTAGATTTAAGTAGAACAACAGAAAAATCAAACTTATGAGCAGCACTACTTGCATACTGTAAAAATACTTCAGCAAGACCTGGGACAGAATAGAGCCTCGCAACAACTAAAGTTTTGTGGATCATGCACACACCCATTCCTACTTATTCTTGCTTTTTCACTTTTTCCATTTTTTTAGTTCCATGAAGCAAGGTGCTACAGGAAAGCAGTAATGAAACGCAATGAAACAGTACAAACATTCACAAGTTTAAAAAAAAAAAAAAAAAGGATCTTGATTTCAGATGAACCAGAAAAATATTCTCCTTGAGTTTACAAACAGCATTGTATGAAAGCTTCCTGCTATGAGGATCTTTTCCCATTTTTAATGACTAGTCATTTTGGCCAAAGCATACTGCATCTGCTATCCTAGAAATAATATTTTAGTGTATTGAAGTAGGAAACTGCCACTGTAATAGAGGATCAGAAAAGGGAAAGGTAGGAATTTGGAATAATTGATTCTTTAAATAAGATAAATAAGTTATTCCAGTTTGCAATAAACAAAGCATGGGGTGGGGGGAGAGAGAGAAAAAAAAAAGCTTCTGTACTGCAACATCCAACAATTCTGATAACAGCCCCAATAACAGGCCTGGAAGTTTTACTTTTTTACTGTCTTAGAATGATAGGAAATATACCAGCTTCAGATACATAAATACTGGAAAAAAATACCGTAGTGAACTGTCATCCTAAGAATTACGGGTCACAATCACTAACTAAACATGCACAAGTTGACGGGGTCAATGGTAGCAGCACATCAGATGCAAGAGGGAAAAGAGCAAACTGGATATAGGAATAAAAATCTGCAATACTTAACAGGGTTTGTATTTCCTTAGAAAAGATGGCAAAGAGTATTACACAAACTAAAACATATTCTCAGTTAAATCACCCTGTTACTGTTTTATCTTCAGTACATTAAAAGCAAATACTCACTATCTTTTTCCCTCTTCTTGTTACCCTCAACCCTCAAATCTTTTCTTTGACAGCACTAGGTCAAATAACACATCTTTTGCTAGACTCCCTACTCGGTTTCCTCCAACCTCCAGAAGTTATTGAGAAGCAAAGTCAGTCAATCACATTCTAATTATTTCCATATCCTGTTTAAGAGTGTTTAACAATACTTTCCCAAAAAATAGCACTAACAGTTTCAGAGGATTTAGAACTTAAGTCACATTTTTCAGCTCTTAGGGATTCAAACATTTCCACGGTGAACTGCGAAGCCTCTTGCTGACATTCCTGTACAATGTAGCAATTCAAATCCTCTATACGCACCCGCCTTCTCATCTTCACAGACCTTAAACATGGGCATCCCACTAATGCTGCAACAACTTGTAGAATCAATGTGTTTTAAAGCGTCTGCATTTTCAAAATAACTTGCATCAGAGACACAGCATCTGGACAGTTTCAGATCCTTAAGATAAAGTGTGGTAAACAGACTGTCAAAATGTTCTCAAGTTTTAGAATATTTGTTTTCTTCATTTTTATTTTAGAGATGCAATCATCAAGAAAGATTAAGTCCATACAGGCTATCCAACATCAATACCATATTGAAACAATATTTTATGCTGGAGTTGAAAAGACCACCATCATCCTGTTTATTTTTCTCCTAAAGGAAACAGGCTTAAGATATCATAAGCCATCATATGTCTGCTCAGATATCAAGACTCAAGTTTTACCCATTATTTCTCCCCACATATGCTGCTTTCTCCAGACACAGGGGGACTGGGCAGGACATACCACCCCTGTTCTTCACAGGTGCCGTTTATGTTCTCTCCTTTCAAAGGCCCTTAACCCTCCCCTTTTGCAGGCCTTTCTGAGAAGCCAATCAGCCTCCAAGGCACTACAAACTGCAACACCTGGCATTACAGGGGTCACGGCCTCACTCTTTTCAATGACAGAAACAATGCATTTACACCTAAGAAAGTAAGTATGGCATTAATAGGCAAGTCTGTTGAAGAGCTTAAACAAAAAGATGAATACATTGAGTGCATCTTTCCTTGCAGCTATTAAAAAAAAAAAAAGTTATAAGCTGCTTGCTGGCCCACTGCTGCAATGTTACATAATATGCTTAGAAGTGATAAATTCAGTGGGAAAATCTTAACAGCTGCAATTATATAATATAATGATAACTTTATAATGCCTTTGGTCAGCTTTTCAAAAATGTAGTCCTCCACAGGAATGTTAAGTCACTAAATGCAGTACCAGAAGTTCTTCCATTACAACAGTAAGGTTCATGGCATAAAGCCTTCCCTTAGGAACTTATTTACCACCAATTTCCACCCCCGCCCCCCCCAAGACACGCTAGTTACTTCACATAGACCTAACTAAAAGCTTAATCTTTTTTTGTAGCCCTACAAGAAGTTAGTACCACAACAGTAAAAAACTGTGCTGAAAAGTATGCCAAATTCTATCAATATGTCAGAATGTTTCTGACATCTTGTCAGAAACATACACACAAAGTATCACGGATTTTAAGCTATTTTTACAGTATTACTAATGAAATTGTTTATACTGCCAGTAAAGTACATCCAGATCCTGGGATCTCGGTACTCTGGCAACACACACTTGTCAGATAAAGTCCAGAAAACACTATCCAGGCCTCAATAGTAATGTGGGAACTAGACAAACTGTATGGTTAGCAACAAGTTATCATCACGTCGCTCAGCGTAACAGTGACTATAAAGCCTCCTGCACCGCAGAGCATGCACAACCATCCTACAGGACCTGGAAGTACCAGTCTGGTCTGGTATGATGTTCTGCTCTACCTCTTCACTGAAACACTTGTAAGTCCAAAAGATCTCATGAAACAACAGGCAAAGCCTCTACGACTGTGACTGCCAACAGCGCCAGACACAGGCCATGATAAACTGCCCCACTTCAAAGCTTCCCTTGCTTCCTTTTTTGCCCTGCTTGAGTCTCTGCCATGTCCACAGAGGGTCATCTCCCCGGGGTTTGGTCTGAAACACGAGCACTTGCTTTCTGCCCTGATGTAGCCTCCTACGGCCCAAACAGATGCTTGACCCAGCGATCAGGTTTCAACATGAACATGTTCTGTAGCCTTGATTCAGCGTATAACACAAAGAGACCAGAGTAACCTGTCTAAACTATTTCTTATGAATTTCTCACTTCAAATACGAAGTTTTGAGAGCACAGCAATACTTTTGAACAGTCCCATAAAAATATTTTCAAGGAGATGAAAGTAAACTAGCAACAAATAAACAGAGTTAATGCTTAAGTTATGCAAAATTCTATGACTACAATATACACTAAGAGAGTAAAAACACTCCACCTCGGCAGAAGAACAGAAACATCTTCCAGCCCGAAGAGGACTCCGGCGCTACCGGATTGGGGCGAGCGCGGGAGCAGTCCTTGCCCGGCGGGCCCGTTCGCCGCCCCGGCCGCGAGCCGGGGACGGGCCAGGCTGCGGGTCTAACGGGCCCCGCGCCGCGCGCTTCACCCGCGAGCTCATCAGCAGCGAAGAGCTACGATTCCGGACACTCCGAAATGCTTCTCCCCAGCCCCCATTCTCACAGTTTCCCGTGCTCCTCCAAACGGTCCCAAGCGGCGCTGAAAGCTCCAGGTGATTTTTCCAGCGGTAATTACGCGGGGAATTCACGGCAGGGCCCGCGCTGGCGCCGTCGCCGCCTCCC